AGAAGAAAAAAACTTAATCACTCATTCTTGAACATTCCTTTTAAGCATTTCATTGTACATATATATTCCCCAGCCCCAAGTGTCTTCAACCAATCCTTATATGACACAAATTCTAAGTCTCATTCTACCTGGCCATCCTCTTCTGCACAAGCCACAGCTTGTCAACCAAAACTCCTGAAATGTAGTCCCCAGAACTGTGGGTCAGAGCACAATATTACTATCCCATCCCACCTTCTGAATTCCATACTTCTGTTAAGATATCTGAGGATTTGATTTTTCTTTTGCCTATTTTTGGCTGAGAAGCTGATTCATGGAACTTATAGTGCACACCAAAAAAAACTAGTTCCTTTCCCACAGAGGTAGGTAACTTTGTCTTGTCATCTCTTCCAAACACTGCAATGTCTACACTTCTCAAAAGAGCCACGTGTTTTCCTGTTATATCTGACAACAGTTTATTTTTTATAGGTGCCAATTCAGGAGGTTAAGTGTGCTTACAACAGAACATTTCCTACACATTACTAGGATGTCCAAATGCATTACTGTCACTTGTAGGAGAAAATTTAATTTGGAAACTATTTTTAAAAGCAGTATCACCAACTGAGTATTAAGCTCACAAAGCTCCCTTGTCTATACTAATCCTCACAAAGGAGAAAAGCCAAAACCTGCCTCTCAGACTGTTAGGCTTAGCAAATTCACTTTCTTTTTCTATGTTTATAATCATAGGTAGTGGTCATTAGAAACAACCTTCTTCCCTTTCTCTGCTATGGGATTTAAACATCATCATCATCAATAAATATTTATTGAGTACCCACCATGTATTTGGCACTGCTACTGTTTCCACAGCAACAGAATGTCATCCCTTATTTAAAGGGGAAGTGCTATCATCTCCTATGATCATAGTTCATAAAGGTGACATTAATTCTACCAGAATGGATGCTATTGTTAAATTCTATGGCAGTTTCACCAAACCAGAAGAGAAAAGAAATTTAGTATGTGGGAAGAGTCCTTCCACTTGTATAAACATACCATAATGAGTCTGCTCTTAACACAGAGGTGTGTGTGTCACAATTGATACAGAAACAGAATTTCAGACCATCACTGGCCATTAATTGTTCTTTTACTAGAAAACACATCAAGCAAGCAAGGACAGAAAATAAAGTTGCACTGTACCGCTAACAGCTCCCCAGAGGAAGGTAGAAGTGATTATTGAGTTAAATGACTATATTGGTAACAACTGCAACATAAGAGCCCTTCCTTCCATGAGATCTGTTCAGGCTGTCAAATTCCTGGTGCTAAGATTTGCTGGAAAATGAAATAATTATCCCCTCAGCCTTCTTTTGAGATCCCTCCTCTTCCATCAGGACCCCAAGTCATTATTGAAGGGTTGATAATTTAATTATTTTTCCCACCTACAAAAAATCAACTTCATTTATCGGATAGCGTGGAAAAAAAGTTGGGGTAAGAGCAAGCCCGTAAACAGCACAATTAGACAACATTAGTTCATCTGCTAGGTTTGGATCTCTTGGTCAACAGATGATTGAATAGATCACAGTCCCAATTTGGAACTAAATATAAAAATCTAGTAACTTTTACAATCCATATTTTCCATTGAAAACAAGGTAGCTGAAACAGCAAGAAGAAAAACATACAAGGAGATTTTTAATTACCACCAAACTTTCCAAGTTTTAGCTAGGATTCCTAAATAACATCAACCTGTGGTTATATTGGCTTTAGATTTTGTTCCCACAAATTCCCATTAACTTGACAAGACTGTGCAATTATGTTAGTAGTGTCGGGCCAATAGATTTATTCAATGTTCACCATTTATCTCCATCAACATATGCAGACGTTTGTTGAATGAGGGTGAAAAGACAGGAAGAAATAGTCTAATAATTAAATGGGCTAGTTAACATGACATTAGAAAGAAAACAATGCTACAAACAGAACACAGTTTCTACAAATTAATAGTTCTTAGGAAGGCCAGAGTTTCCAACACATTCATTTCATCAGTTAGACAATCCTTAACAACTGCAGCCCCTCAACAGTAAAGCAGCATTTGAAATGTGAAATATCACAGGTAGAACCAACAGGGACATATGGTATGAAACACAAGTCATGTTTTTCCCCAAAAAAACTAGATGCCAAGCCTGCTTGCCTTCCCTGTGTGTTATGAAATAGCAAACAAAGAAAAGGTGCCCGCTGCTCTCGCACTTTTCTAAATGTTTTAACAAAAGGCTGCTGAATAAATACATTACTCAGAGGGAGGGAAAAGTTCCTTCGCAGAGATGAGAAGATTTGCATTTTAATAGTTAGGGAAAGAGCACCACCCAATGGAAAACACTCCAACTGCAGAGCATTCAGCACTGGACAGCTTCCCTGAGGAACTTCCTGGTTCCAGCAGAAACTCAAGGGAAAATGGAGAGAGATTTGGATTTGTCGATTCTTTGTATCTGTTCCTTTACCTGGAATGTGCATGCTATAAGTGGTCTGGGGGATAGGAAAACCTAGAAAATCAAGTGAAATCTAAAACACACATCTCACAGTGTCCCATGACTAAGATTCTCTTGTGGAAAGAGCCATCCTTACATTCCACAGCAAGATTTTAATGTACTGTTATTTCTCTCATTCTTTTCACATGAAATCCTTAGTGGGGAAAACACACATCCTGTAGACTCATTACCCTTCAATATAGGTTCTCTCCCCTTCTTCAAGAACCCTTTCTTTGCCTCCCCAAATCAAACGCCTCCAAGAATCTTTCCAAGCAATAGAAATGCACAGTTCCGAGTGGCAAAAAGCCTTGATGTCATCCTCATTTTTAAAAACATTATGCCAGTTCAAGCCTAACTTGTTTCTTTTGGAGCAGTCTTTTCAACTGTTTCTTGGTCTACCTCAGAAGCAATTTGTTTTATAAGAATACATTTCCCAAAGGTTTTGGGGGGGGTTTTTTAAAGCCTTGGTAATGTATGTGCACAGCTGTTGCTTAGCAATCTAAATCCAGCCATTTCTTACTAAGTACCATTTGGTTTATCTCAACCTCTCTTTTCTGGAACTGAACAGTTAAAATTCAACATGGTCAAGCACATTTCCCATCTATCAATACAATGGAAAGAAACTTCAACACTATTTGAAACTGGAAAAGTTCCACTACCCCCTCCTCAGTGTCTTACTCTGGGGACCATGGCATTGTTACTGTCAAATTGTTTGTGTAGCACTGAAATGATTGCTATGTCTATAGGAAACACAGAGATCAAGTACACAAAGGGCCGTATTCTGCTAGCTGACATCAGTACAATCTTCACCAATTCAGATTTTTCCTGCTACAATATTAGCCCAATTTTATTGTTGCAATCACATTATCATTTTTCAAACTTTTCCAAAATCCAACTGAACCAGATCCGAGACAAAGTCATTTGAATGCAAAGGGTCCTGACAGAGAAGCAAAACTGTCTCAACTACCCACCACAGAACACAAAACGTTCCAAGGTTGACTGCTTTTCCTCCGAGGATAAAATTGAGGTTTGGTTGACGCCGCCCCCCCCTTTTATTTTCCCAACAGAAGAATGGGAAATTTTTGGAATTTACGCCATTTTGACTCTCAGCTCTATATCCAAAGTTCGTCTTGCGCAGGTTTGTAAGGGGAGGGGGCGAAAAGGAAGAAAATTAATCAACGGAAGAGGAGGGATATTACATTCTTATGGAAAGAAGCCTTCCAATCCAGAGGCGGGAAGACGGCCACTTGCCTGAATAGGCACCTGTCGTCTTTAAGTAATTCTAGCTATGTCTAAAGGAACTGTAAGAGGGAGGAAAAAACAGACTTGTTGCAAGGGACAGATGCCCCAAATCTAACAACCTCAAATATTAGGCTGACAGACTCTGACAAGTGTGAAATAGTCCAAATATTCCCAGCATCCGAGGAAGTTATCCAATCCTGGGACCCTCAATGGAAAGTCACTACTCCACTTTTTAAAAGGCTGACCAACTTTTGATTTAAAGGTACGAGAATGGGGTGAGGGGAGGTGGATCGCAGCTAGCACAGTCAGTCTACCGCTGGCTGGTCTCTGCCTCTTTCTCTTGGTTTCAGAACAAACAGCTGCTAGCTAGGCAAGAAGCCTAGAGAATGCCATCCCTGGAGCAGAGGCTGTAACTTTGTCCCTGGAGCTCCGGAGAAGCTTCCAAAGGGAAAGGAGACTCAGGGCTCGCGCAAATCGCTCGAAGCTGGTTCTCAGCCCGAGACCCCCACACAGGTGCAGGCTGCGGGCCAGTCCGCGGTCCCCGCGACTGGGAAAGATGCTCCCTGTGGGACCTTAAGGAAAAGTGGCGGCTTCGGGAGCGCTTGGGACAAGCCAGCACTGGACGCCAGTGGGAGACCGAGCGGGGCTGACAGGGGACTGACCGGCCGGCCACGGTTCCTCCGACGGCCGGGACCGTGACACTGAGCCCGCTGCTCTGCTCTGGAGGGACGCGGACTTGCAGCCCTGGCCAAGAACCCAAGAAGATCCGGGGAGGGAGGCGAGTCCCGGGACCGGAGGTAGCGCGCTGGGCGAGGCACTCGGTCCCCAACTGAAACCAAGGACCAACTCCCAGCCCCCGCCTCAACTTGGAGACGCTTTCCAGCCCCACTCACCTGCAAAGCCCTGTCCCTCTGCTGGGTGCAACAGCTGCAGAAGGAAAACAAACGTGGCAGTCCTGGTCATGCTTTACTAGCGGGTGCATCCCCTTCCCACGGCGGCCGGACAGACGCTGGGGCTAGGGGCGGCGGGCTGGCTAACAGCCCCGGCGGCGGCGGCTTCCTCAGAGGAGACTGAGCGCCGCAGCTCCGCGCTCCGGGCTTGGGCTCCGCGCTCAGGCTGCTGCTCTCCAGCTCTGAGGAGTAGCACCAACTGAGGGAAGGAGGGAAGGGGGGAGGGACAAGGGGGAGGGGCACCGAGCTAGGGATGGGGGGCAGCGAATGCGAGAGGGAGGGGGTGGGAAAGGAGATTTCCCCTGAGTCCTAACGCCCGCCTTTTCCTTGCCTCGGCTCCCGCACACCCCCGGCGCGCACTCGCTCCTTTCCGGCTGGAGCCGGCGGATCCGCCACAGCCGAGCTGGCTGAGCGAAGAACCCAGGAAAAGGGCTCCGGGCTTAGGAGGAGGCTCAAGCCGCCTGTCCTCCCTGAGCTGCCTTAGGGGCTTACCCCGCAGAGGCTGCACTGGAGCCTCGGCTCTGGCCCGACCCCAGCCGTCTGTCTGCGCAGGTGGCTGAGGACACGGCCCAGGCGGCTGTGCAGGTACCGGGCGGGGCCCGGGACACGGGGGCCAGACACGTGGGGGAGGGGGCGCGGGGCTGGGGAAACGGCGGAGGCACGTGTTGGGGGGGGACAGAGAGGGGCGAGAGAGGTTGGTGGGGCACGTGGGAAAGGGGGACCTGGAGGGGAGGGGCGCCTGAAACTCGGGGCTGTGGCCCAGCGTAGACTAGCCCCCCCTACACAGACACACAAACATGCCCCTGGCCCAGCGGGCCCTCCAGGAGGAATTCGAGTGTGAGAAGACCTCTGGTGAGAACAAGCTTGGGCTGATCCTGGAAATCTGGGGCTAAAATGGTCTTTCCCCCCCCCCATTATTCACTTAACTCTGTTAGCTCAGAGTCCGTGTACACACACACACACACACACACACACACCTGCCTTACACACCTCCCCATAGCTCTTCACCACCTCCTAGACACTCACACGTATCCCCACGTCTCTTAACGCACCCCCACAGACACAAACACACCTCCTTTCACACACCTCCTCATTCCACAGGCGCCTTCCTTCACCCCCACTACATACTTCCCTCCCCATCATACCTCTCTCACCCCCCCATAACGTGCCTCTTTCTGACCCCCCCACTCATCTTCCTCTTCCCCCATACAGGCACACCTCCTTCCTCCCCAGACACAGATCACACACACACACACACACACACACACACACACACACACGCCCCTCCCTCGACCTCTTCAACACCCCTCCTCCTCAGACACACCTCCCTCCTCCTTCACACACAGACACACCTCTCTTCTTCCCCCTACATACACAGCTACACCTCCTTCCTCCCCTCCACACACAGACACACCTCCTTCCTCCCCTCCACACACTCAGACACACCTCCTTCCTTCCCCTCCACACACACTCACCTCCCTCCTTCCCCCCACACACAGACACATACCTCCATCTATCCCCATCCCATCTCCTGTCTATAGACACATACCCTCTCCACCCCACTTCTCATCCAAAATATTCCCCACCTCCCACACCTCTCTCTCTTCTACACAATCATATCTCCTCCTTGCACCCCCTCAGAATACTCCCATATCTCTCCCCCCTCCACTTTCCCCGAAGATAGACGTCTCTCAACCCTCACAGATACATTCCCCCCACCTCTCCCTGGGCCCCGGCAGACACCAACAGCCTATGAGCAAGCTTTGGAAACAGCTCCCTCTCCTGCCCTTCCTTTTGCTGACTATTTCTCCCTCCTAAGGAAGGAGAATATTGTATTGTTTTCTCGTTTTGTTGTGGTTTTATTTTCCTCCACCCATCTAAACAATGAGCCATATTGGCATCGATTTAGGGGCAGAGAAACCAAATCCGAGAGCCCAGAAGGCTGGTGGAGAAGATGTCTTTCAGATTCAAGTGATGGGGTTATTGGGTTCTTGGGGAGCTCGATTTTGAGGAAATTTCAGCGTGAGGTGGCCAGTCTTTTGAAAGTCTCTCACGTGGCTTTGTTTTCAGAACCATTTCAAGATTACTTTCCTAATTGCCATCTCTCTTTGTCTCTATTTCCCATTCTTTGCTTTTTCATACACTGTATCTTTGTTCTCAACAGCTCTTCAGTCTCAGTTCTTGTGCTCATTCCACCCCAGTCACATATTCAACTCTAACCATGGGACTCATTTTTCTGTATGGTATAGTGTCAGAAAACTGAGGTTCCAATATTGGCCCCAACCATTTTATATTGGTTTTGTGACCCAGGGCAATCCACTTACTGTCTTAGCTTCAGTTTTCTCATCTGTAAAATGGGGTTAATACATGTCCTACAGGCTTATTCTGATTAAACTTCTTTTAAACCTTAAAGCCTAAGGAAATGTGAGTCTGTGCCAAAGACTTAGTTTCTATATAGGATTTCATCTTTCCTTTCTAGGCAAACCTGGGGTTTGCTGATGAGAGACACTCATCAGCTATACACCGAGATATCCAAGATACTTATTCCCCCAGACCTCTGCTCCTTAGCACCCCCAAGATAAAACATGGGGCATCTTTCTCCCAAACATCACAACATAGACCCCAAATCAAAGGATGGTACATTTAGAATTAGAAGATACTCAGAGGTCATCTAGTTCAGCTCCTTCATTTATAAATGAGGAAACTGAGATCCAGATAGGTTAAATGACTTGCCCAGGATCATCCAGTAAGAGGTCAGATAGTCAAGGTCACACAAGTAATCAAGAGGTAAAATTTGAACCCAGGTCCACTGATTCCAAAGACAGTGTGGGTTCCACAGAGCCATACTTCTTGTATCATCATGAAAGAATCCTCCCTGCCCAGGTCAGGCCACAGAATTTCTACTAGTAGAGAAAGCTTAAAATATTCAATCTGTAAGGTAGTTAGGCTTTCCTAGATTCTCTCTAGATTTCCTAGACTCTAACCAGGAACATTATCACCCCCTGGCCCTAGGGTAGAGGTCTGGTCTAGAGCAGCAAGCCGATAGGGAGCTAAAGGAGGGGAAGAATTAGTGGTGACTCAGGATTTAGAAATCTGTTTGTACAAGGAGTCCTGTGTGGAATGGGATCCCTCCTAACAAGCACTTCAGAGAATTCCCCAGCTTCCTTCAAAGCACTGCTCTAATGCTATATCCTCCAGAAGGCCTTTCCTGGTCTCACTCCCCCCTCTCACCAGTTACTGATACACTTGAAATTACTTTGCATTTGTTTTTGTCCATGATGTATCCCAATCAGTAGAATAAAAGCCCTCTGAAAAAGGGACGGTCTCTCTCTGTTTCTGTCTCTCTTGTCTCAGTTTCTCTGTCTCTTTATATCTGTCTCTCTCATTTTCTCCGTCTCTTTGTATCTGTCTCTGTCCTTTACTCTTTCTGTATCTGTCTCTCTGCCTTTTTCTCTGTCTCTCTGTGTGTGTCTCTCTTTCTCTCTCTATCCCTTTTTTCTGCCTGTCTGTCTTTCTGTCCTTTACTCTGTCTCTCTGTCTTTTTTCTCCGTCTCTCTGTATGTCTCTGTCTCTTTTTTCTCTCTATCCCTTTTTTTCTGTCTCTCTGTATCTATCTCCATATATATAGTCATATTTATGCATATATACATATACATATATGTATATAACATATGCGCATGTGTTGGCATACATTGTATATGTGTATTGCATGCATACATATATGTATATGCTTATACCTATATACATGTATGTGTGTGTATCCCTAATGTTTAGCACATAGTACAAACTTCCTTTCTGAAGGAATTGAATAGAACTGGGAGAGACCCTAGAAAGCATCTTGTCCCACTGCCCCATTTCACAGATAGAAAACTGAAACATGGTGATGAATGAACCAGACCAAGCTCACATAGCATGTTAATGACAGAGGCAAGATTAGAACTCAGGTATCCCCCCCCAAAAAAAAAAAGAACTCGTGTCCCCACTCTTCTCCATCCACCATACTTTCCATTTCACAGGGCCTCCCTTTCAAGGGAGCAAAGTCTTCTGAATGTTCTCCTTGTGGGCCTGGAGGGAGTAATAGAGAAGGGAGGTTTCTAAGTCACACTTGTAACTTTTCCAGAATCTCTTGGTCTCATTCCAACTGATAGCAGTATCCCCTTTTTTTCTGGAAAAGAAAGAAAAAGGCATTTCTTACATTGGCACTTACAGCCCTCAGATCCTTCTCAAAACTGATTATTTGTGTGCATGCCCACATACTCTGGAGACTTAGCATCTCTATTGCTGCTGGTCTGAGGACCACACACAGTTTCTGTGATACATTGCTGAGTGTTAGCCCCAGTCAAATTCAGCAAAGGGGACCACACATTCAGGGAAGGGCCTGAACTGGAGCTGAAGCTAACCAAGTGCAATCTCCATTTCAGTGCCATAGAAAAGGAGAATGTGGGCTGGAGTTCAAAGAGGAAGGTAAGCCAAGATCCCTTCCCAACTACCCATCCTTTCCTGGAGACTAGTTTAATCAGCCAACATCAGGATGTTTCTGCTTCCTCAGACTGGATCAAAAACAAGTGCATTTTGAAAATAAATATTAATCATTTAGTGTTTGTGTCTGAGCATAGCATTGTGATATTAATTTCTTATTCAATTTATCAAAGGGTAGGTTTTCACAGCGCTTCTGGGTTCGGAAAATGGAGGTTTTGGTCCTCAGTTTATCACTGATAAACCGTTGCCATTGGAACCTTGGGCAAACTCCCAACCCTCTCTAGGCCTCAGTTTCTCCATCATCTTCTTCTTCTTCTTTTTGGGGGGGTTAGGCAATGGGATTAAGTGACTTGCCCAGGGTTACACAGCTAGTAAGTGTCAAGTGAATGAGGCTGGATTTGAACTCAGGTCCTCCTGACTCCAGGGCCAGTGCTCTATCCACTGTACAACCTAGCTGCTCCAGTTTCTCCATCTTCTTAACCCCAGTGTCTCCTTGTTACCTTTAAGATTAAATATCAAATGAGAAGGTTTTACTAGATTACCTCTAAATATAATAACTACTTACATTTATATAGTATTTATGGTTGCAAAACATCTTACATGCCTTATCCTAAAATGGTGGTACAGCGGGTAGTGTGTTTGACTTAGAGTCAAGAAGACCTGGGTTCACATCCCACCTCTGACATTAGCTGGATGACCATAGGCAACTTTTCTGAGCTTTCTTTCCTTGATCTATAAAAGGACAATAATACCTGTAGTATCAACTTCACAGATTTGTTGTCTCAAATAAGAATACATATAAAGCAATTTGTGAGTTTTAAGGTACTGGAGAAATTCCAGTGATTGTTACTGCACCCATTTTATAGATAAGAAAACTGAGGCTCAGAGAGGTTAAATTTGTCTAAGAGTCTTTCAACTAGCAATGATAAGAATCAGGACTCAAAGTCTTTCTGACTCCAAATCTCAGGCTCTTTCCACCACACCACACTGCTCTAATGTTTTATAATTCTTTGGTTACTTACTCTGTTAAACAAAACTGTGAGTCAGACTTATGAGAATTGGGGATTTTGCCTGCTAACAAGCAGATCTCCTCTGTGTAGTGATATTCAATCACCCCTGAGCCAGGAGTGTACATTTGTCTATGGTAGATGCATGTGTCTGAGAAGGCTAGAGAATGTCTGGGGCAGGGAGGGTGCTAGTAGACCTGCCTAATGTCTGTATGTGTGTATAATTAGAGAATTTGGAGCAATGTCAGAAGAATGTTAATATCAGATGCCTATGATACCTCACACAATAGGGGAAAATAACTCAAAGCCAGTTGGCATCTTAAATGCTAAATATTTGACAATAAGCCAATAGAGGGTACATCAATAGGGAGGGGACCCCTGACCAGCTGCCTGCACCCAATATCTCCCAGTCACTCCTTGTCTGCTTCCCACTCCCACAATGTTGTCAGCACATTTGGAGCAAGCTATGTGCATAAATACATATACCAGCTGTCTCTTTTAATCTGGTTGCAAGATGAAATCATTAATAGATGTCAGACACATTGGCAGCAATCTCTTATGTATCATCTTCATTAATAATTTCCTTCTTTCTGAGAAAAAATTAGTAACAAGCAACCATCAATAATTCAGAAATACAAGTTAACCTTTATATTAGCAGAGTGACTCTTTACATGGAGCTGAATATTCTGGAGTCAGTCACTCTGACTTGAGCAATGTTTTATGGCAGGAATATTAATATGTATTAGTGCTGTCTATCAGGTCAGACAAATAGAAATGCATAAGAGCACACTGTAAGTATTTCTCAAACTTAACCTCTTGATCCAAGTCTATTTTTATAGAGAAAAAATTACATTACCCAATGATCTATCCCTCTCTGAAACCAGGACTTTCAAAAGGAGGCTCTGGCCTTATAAAGGAGAACCAAATTGAGGTGGACCCAATCAGAGACACTGGGCCTGCTGAGACTCCACTATGTTGTAGCTGAATTCTTCCTGTAGCATCACATAGCAGGAGCAGACAAAGAAAAAATGATTTCAGAAAGGAGAGAGTTGTTGGGGGGGGAGGGGGAGAGAAGGAAGGAAGAGACATTAAAATTGCCTGTAAGGAGATACAGAGTCTGTAACTTATAAAGTGGGAAAACAGATAATGATTAGGGAATAGGGACTGGGTCCCTATTCTGAGTGTGATTCTACTCTCAAATTTTATGGATAGAAAAGTCTGACCAATGTAGCCCTAGTTAAAAAGGATTTTTTAAAACTCCTCAGAATCCACTAATGAAGGGAGGCTTCTCAGCTTCCCAAACTCCAGAGAGCAGAGAGTTCTACGGGAGGTACAACTGATCAGTGAAAAAATGCCAGCGCTGTGCCCAGGAGTTTAGCAAATAAAACACAATGCCTCAGATTCCCTGAACTTAATGCTAAGACTAACCCAGGAAGACTTGGGTTCTAGTCCCCTGCTCTGCTATACAAACTAGCTATATAAACTTGAGCCTTTCCTCCCTCCCAGCCTCACTGGCTCCCTCTGTACAGTGAAGGGGTTGGATGAAATTCTCTTCAAGGTTCCTTCCAGTTTGGATGCTCTGTGATTCTGAAAAGCCCAATAGTTCTTACTGTAGCACTAAACAGGGGAAATCTTTGCATTTTTTTGCCTCATAGTGCCTTGATTATAAACTGTTGGATAGTCCCTGAAAACAGGACATCTAGGTAACACGGTGCACTGGGCCTGGAGTCAAGAAGACCCGAGTTAAAATCTAGCCTTAGACACTTATTAGATGTGTGACCCTGGGCAGGTCACTTAAGCCTGTATGCCTCAGTTTGCTCATCTGCAAAATGAGCTAAAGAAGGAAATGACAAAGAAATCCCAAATGGGGTCAAGAAGAGTTGTACACAATGGGAAGAAATAACTTAAAAATCTCCTGAAAGCCCTCACAGTATCTTGTTCTGTCTGCTCTGATCAGACTCCATGGAGCAGATTATGTCCAGTGTGACAAACTACATTTTAGGAAGGATATTGGCCAGCTGGAATGTGCCTAAAGGGAAGAGACCAGGGTGGTGAAGAGGCTGGAGACTAGGTCATACAAAGCTTAATTGACGAAGCTAGAGACACTTACCCTACAAAAAAGAGTTGTTTTTGTTGTTTTTTAACAGAATGATTGGCACCTTCTGGGCATTTCCAATTACTGTAGATCCTCAGGCACTAAAAATGTGATGAACTAACCTACTGTATCATGAGGTCATGTGAATTAATCCCTGCAACTTGAAGATGATACAGAGTGTCCCAAGAGAATTGCAAACCATCAGAATCAGAAGAGATCTGGCAGGGAGAGAAACTGAAGCCAGAGAGAAACAACTTCTTCAAGGTAACACAGCTGAGAAACGTGTCAGAACTAAAATTTGAACCTATATCTTCTGACTCCAAACCTAATGCTCTTTCCATCACACCCTCCCTATGCACAAAACTAGCACTATTTATCTCAGATGTAAATAAAAATTTGTACAGAAGTATACATATACGTATAGTGTTTGTTTGTTTTCTTTTTAATGTTTGAGCTTTCCCTCACTCTAGAAAACCCAAGCTAACTTACAGGCCAGTAAGTGCTCAGTAAATGTTTGCTTATGATAGGGATGAAATGGGATGATGTGTTAATGAATTATTTATTTACTCCTAGAGTTAATTAACAAAATCCAGACCTTGATTATGTCATAAGTGAAAACGTGATGATCCTCTTGAGTGTTCACTGGACATTAATCTCTGTTCCAAAACCAGCATAATAGACGAATTTGGCTTCTATGCAGAAGGTAAGGACAAGGACAAATCCTGGTTGGAGCTCAAGGCTTAAATAATAGGGAGCAATTACAATTTGGGGTTTCTAGTGAGGGAATGAATGAAGAATTTATTACATGCTTACTATATGCAAAGCACTGTACTAAGTAGTGAGGATAGAAATGAGAGGAAGGGGAAGGGAACAAACATTTATTAAGCAAATACTATATACTTGACAGTGTGCTAAGTGCATTACAGATATTATTTTATTTTATCCTCACAACAATCCTGAGAGGTAAGTTAGTGAGACAGACAGATGTTAAGTAACTTGCCTAGGGTCACATAACTATTAAGTGTCTGAGGCCAGATTTGAACTTGCCTAAGCTAGTGGCAAAGTGGATATAATACTGGAGTGAGTCAGGAAGACTGGGCAAGTCTGTAAACCCTGTTTGCCTCAGTTTCCTCATCTGTAAAAGGAGCTAGAGAAAGAAATGGCAAACCACTCCAGTATCTCTGCCAGGAAAATCCCAAATGGGGTCACACAGAGTCAGACGTGACTGAAAACTGCTGAACAACAAGAAGATCACATAGACCTCCCTATCCGGTGTACCAACAGCCAATATAAAAACCATAACAAAAGTAGCAAAACATTTCATTAGGATGGAATGTTGTTGTTGTACATTAAGTAAATAATAGAGAAAAACTCTATCCTCTGCCACCAGCACCATATATGAAGGGATAAAATTTCTCACCAACTCCCATCTCTGTGAGCAGGGGAAGGAAACACTCCCTCGAATAACTCAAGCTCTGCGGTGATTATACCACAGCTGGACTGCCTCCCCTCATTCTATATCTGGACAACTGCTATGGTTAGTTCTTGCTTCTACCTGTCCTAGATCCTTTGGTATGCCTCTGGGGCTCTCCTTCCTGCTGGTACTCCCCTCTGACACTAGACATCTTCAACTGAAGCTCTGCACTCTCCTGTTACTGTGTGCCTCCAGAGCTACCACTGGCCACTCATCCAATGGACTGGTGCTGCCATCTTCTGGAGCTGTTATCTACTGATGAAGCTTCCACCAGGAGACTAACCCAAGTCAACAACTCATCACCAATGAGAACATTTTCACTTCTGTTAGAAAGGCTTGGGATATACGAGGGGGCAGCATCAAAGCCTTTTCTTTTTCTTGATGCCTAGCAAATATTTTTCCTTCTTTGGCTCATGCCCTTACCCCACACTCCCCCAAAATAAGAATTCACCTAGTTGTAGGATCATAGATTTGGAGCTAGAAAGTACCTAATAAACCATCTAACCAACTCCCTCCTTATAGATGAGGAAACTGAGACTTCAGGACTTTAAGTGAGTTGTCCAAGGTCACATAATTAGTAAGTGACAAAAGCAGTCCTCACTCCTAATTTGACTAGGGCAAGTACATTCTTTTCAATGCACAGGGTGCTCCTCACAGCTAGCCTCCATGCCTTGTAAATTGCCTTAAAGAGGCACTTAGCAACACTGGATAAGGAGGAGCTGGAACGAATGAGTTTCCCCCCAATCCCTAGCCTTACACCAAAGGTCCCTGTCTCCCTTCTATATACTTCTTATGTTTCTGTTAGTTTCTACCCCACTCACATCCTGTAAATATTTAAGCAAAAAAAGAAAAACCCCATGAAAATATATTCACTTATTCAATCATTCATACAGCAGATAGTATGCAGCTGTTATATGTAAGGGCTTGTGTTGGACATCATGCATAGAGAAATAAGAAATGGTCCCTTCCTTCAAGGAGCTCACAATCCAGTAAACTGGTTTCTCACCCTTATGGCAGAGGAGCTCAGGGTATGCACTTTGACTGTCCTAAGATTGTTACACTTCAGTGCAAAACAACCATGCTCTAAAGCAATAAAGATATGTTCAAGTTGTAAAATCACCACATCCATAACAATAAAGATAATGGTAAGGATGAGACTAAAGAAATCAGGCCCATTTCTTTCAAAGCAAGGCTTATACTGGGAGTCAGGAAGAGGAGTTCAAATTCTGCCTCAGACATTTCCTAGTTGTGTGACCCTGAGCAAACGACTTCACCTTTGTCTGCTTCAGTTTCCTCATCTGCAAAATGGGGATAATAACAGCACCTACTCCTTTGGGTTATCGTGAGGATCAAATGATACAACATATGAAAAACATTTTGCAAACCAGAAAGTGCTACACAAATACTAGTTATTGTTGTTACCCTATTTATAGCATATATGACAAGGGCTCATCCAGCTTTTGCTTGAACATCTGAATTGAAGGGGATCCCAGTACTTCCTGAGGTGGTTAATTCTACTTTTGGACAACTCCAATTGTAAGGGGAGAGAAGGGAGGAGGGAGGAAAGGTTGAGAGGGAGGGAGGGAGGCAGGGAGGGAGGGATAAAGAAAAAAAGGGAGGGAAGGGGGAGAGAAACACTGAGGGAGGAAGAGAGGGGGAAGGAAAGAGGGGAGAGGAAAGGAGAAGGGAGAGAGAGATGGAGGGAGGGAGGGAAGGGGAGGGAGAGAGAGATGGAGGGAGGCAGGGGGAGAGATGGAGGAAGGGAGGGGGAGAGATGGAGGGAAGAGGGAGAGAAACATTGAAGGAGGGAAGGGGAGGGAAAGAGAGGGAGGGGAGAGAGATATGGAGAGAGGAAGAGAGGGAGGGAGAGAGGGGAGAGAAACACTGAGGGGGGGGAGAGAGAGAGAGAGAGAGAGAGAGAGAGAGAGAGAGAGAGAGAGAGAGAGAGAGAGAGAGGGGAGAGAAACACTGAGGGGGGGGGAGAGAGAGAGAGAGAGAGAGAGAGAGAGAGAGAGAGAGAGAGAGAGAGAGAGAGAGAGAGAGAGAGAGAGAGAGCTTCCACCCATTTTTCATAGTTCTGCCTCCTGGGACCAAAAGGAACAAGTCTGACAGCAGTTCAAATACTTCACTATCCTTTTTCCCACTAAGTCCTGTTTTCTACAGACAGAACATCTCATCTGCATATTCTGCAGCCTTCTCTCACATCCTCCATGCTCTCTTTTGGGTGATTTCCAGCTTGTCACTGTCCTGGTGCTCAGAATCGAACACATGACTCCAGCTGTGTCCTCATCAGGGCAGATTGCAACTGGACCATTCCTTCCCTCATTCTCTTAAATTCAGCCCAGCTTTTTTGGTTGCCATCTCACATTGTTGATTCATTGAACTTACAGTCCACTTAAACCTCCAGATCTTTTTTAAATCAGCTGTTGCTAAATTAATCAGAGTTAGATCTATGGAATGAGTCATCTATCCCCAGTGTTAAATCCCCAGCTGGTAAATGTTTAACAACTGGTTCTCTAACCAAAAAAAAGTAGATTCAATACTTTTAAGTTTAATCTACATTATTAATGTTTTCTCCATCACTTTATTAAGTCTAGACAATCAACAAAACAATAAGTCAAGCTCTGATTTGAAGCAAATGTCCATTTCTGAAGTATAAAAGCTCACACTGTTTGAGCTGGCTCCAGAAAATCCTTCTCTGTCCCTCACCTAGAGTACACACAAAAATCACTGAAACCACAGTTTTGATACTGGTTAAACAATGATGTTCTGTTTCTAATAAAGGAGGCAGTCAATAGCAAAAGGTAATTTGTGGCTCTGAAAATGTCATCCAGGCAAATCTTCATAACTTTCTAAGCTCTGGTGAAAATGAACATATTGGCTGTTAAAGAGAAGGACAGGAAATCAAGCCACTAGAAAGGACAGGTTTGATCATTATAATGAAGAGGAAAAAGAAAAGATAAATATATACATATATATATTATATATATATATATATATACATATAATATATATACACACACACACATATATAAATGTGATATATAAAATATTTCTATATGTGTTATATGTAACAGTTATACATCTATGAAATCTATATACTATATACTATATACATATATTTTATATAACTTACATGTATGTATAGATACATATAAATATACTTACACATATATACATAAAAATAAACAGCCTCTCCTAGATCAGAGGTTCTTAACCTTTCTTGTCATGGACCCCTTTAATAGTCTGGTGAAGTCTCTGGACCCCTTATCAGAATCATGTTCTTTTTTTTTTAAGAGGCAATTAGGGTTAAATGACTTGCTCAGCATCAAACAGCTACAGAATCATGTTCTTCTAGGAAGCTAATCATATTGAAAGAAAGATGGTTTGTTTGTTTTGTTTTTTCCCACCTCAGTTCATAAATGCCCTGAAATCTGTCCGTAGTCCATGGATGCCGTGTTAAGAATCCCCATCCTAGAGTGTTCTCTCAGTTCCTGCCTGCCTGCCCAGATCCTACCTAAACCTTCCAAGCCTCGTTCAAGTCCACCCTTCTTCCATAATGCATCCTCTGATTCCTGCCTCCATCATAGAACTGTTAGTTCACCTTTATCTCCCCTTTTCTGGCCTTTTATAGTACTTAGATATTATTACCACATACTATGACTTTACTACATCCTGGCTTATGCTTTTCAGTGTTACTTTATATCTCCTTTCCATAGTGGGATTATAGGTTCCTCAAACAAACTATCCAGTTCAAAACACATTTATCAAGTCCCTAACATTCAAGACCCTGTTCCCAGACCCGAAGATCTCAAAGACACCTCCATGGACCCTGACCTCAAAGGTCATACAGATTAATGAAGGGAGAAGACAAATATGCAAAATACCTATGATACAAGGGAGAATGAAGGCAGAGACCAAAT